TCCTTGTACATTTAATTAGAAGCCTAATCACTATTAAGAGGTCGACTGATAGGGTTTAGCTATCAGGTTCGACAGTTCTTTCATCTTCTTCTTCTTCTCTTCTTCTTCTTCTTCTTCTCCTTCTCTTTCTTCTTCTCCTTACTGGTTCGGACTACTGTAGCTACAGTAGAAACAAAGTCAATTAAGTTTTAGCATTATTATATATAAAAGGACATGGCTATCATGCTTTACACATTATTTTTGATCAACAAGAAGAAAGTAATTTTATTGAAAAAACATTTTAAGTTACATTATAGAGGGTGATCTTTCACCCAAGAAACATAGAGCTGGGAAACAAAGCCTAAAAGATTACAGAATAGCCCAAAACAACTGCTGCCTATAGACCCCTTGTTTAGCTAATGTGTCGGCCATCCCATACAGTCCTTGTCCAATTAAAATTGGCATTTAGGTCCCTTGCCAAGATTTCTATTTTCCTCAGCTTGTCTATAGATCCAAGGTATGTTGCACCTGTTGGTAGTCCATGAAACAACCAACTTCGAGTCCCCCTTCAACCTCCAAGTTTTAAAAGTTTGATTGTTTAGCAAATTTTAGGCCTTGTAGTAGGGCCATCAGCTCAGTCTTTAAGGAATCCCTTACCCTTATAGGTCTTGAAATGTCTCTGAAGACACCACCAATACCTGCCAATCCCGGGTTTCCCCATTGAGCTTCTATTGAAGTTCAGCTTTATTCTATTCTTTGGTGGGGGTTTCCACTCCATCACTTTCCTTTTCTTTGGAAGAATGAGCCACTTCATTCCACACCCTTATTATATCAGTCATTGTAAAGCTGTTGAAGAGATCAAGTGTTTTTATCCAATGAGACACTTTCACTTTTATAATTTCCACAATTTTTTCTTTTGACCTATGCTTTTCATTGAAGATTCTTGCATTATTTTCCTTGCAAATAGTCCACACCACGGCTGTCCTTACTGTTTCCACATAATTCTTCCTCTCTTTGTTGGTTGCCTTAAGAAGTTTGGGCTGAACAGACTTACCATATCTTGAGGAGAAATCCACTTGCACCCAAAAGGAGAGCAAATAGAATTATGTGGTAAGGATTCTCCATTTGCAAATCCAATGAAGTACACATGAGGGGAGAGGCATTTATTTGGTCTCCTTTTTTGAAGCATTTCACAGGTGTTCACCTTCCCAAGAAAAACTTCCCAACACAATGCTTTGTGTGGTATGGGCTTACTCCAAATCTCTTTCACCGGGAAGTTCTCCCCCCTACAATAGGTTGCACAAGAATGTTGAAGAAAGAGGCGCAAGTAACATTACCATCAAGTGAGTTCGTCCACATCCTAGTGTCTTCCATAGATTGAACCAAGAAAGTTGACCTAAGTTTGTCCAACAAAAGAATAAGGGCCTCACATTCAATATCTCTCAATCTCCTCCTAAATCCAAAATCCCAACTCACACCAGAAGGAGAATAGGTGACAAATCTCGAAATAGGTTCACACTTATATTGGAAATTGAGTACAGGTCAGGGAAAAGGGTACTGAGGGGAATTTCATCCAACCAGAGATCTTCCCAAAAGAGGACATTTGATCCACATCCCACATCAAATCTAATGAAATTAATGAGGATTGGTTATACGCCTTGAATTGCTTTCCATGGAGAGATCGAGGTTGAAGGAGCTACTTTTGCATCCCAACCATTACTCATCACTTTGTGAATGTTTTCAATGATCTTATGCCACAGTCTTCAGGTTCCCAATGAAAGTCTCTCATCATTTTCTCTAGCTGTCCTGCTATCCTCATTGGAATCCTGAAAGTAGAGAGGTAATAGATGGGTAAATTATCTAGGGTTGCTCTAATTAGAGTTATACTTCCCCCCCAAAGAGATGTAGTTCCTTTTCCAGAGGGCAAACTTCTTGGTGAATCTCTCTACTATCAGCTTCTCAAAAGATTTCTGATCTTGGGTTCCCTCCTAAAGGTAGTCCTAAGTACTCCAATGGCCACTGTTTGATCTCACACCCTAACATCCCAGCCAGTACTTATTGTCTACAAATTGCAAGTGTGTAACTGTCACCTCAAGCCTTCCTACCCTCCACCCTCTAAACAAATTATCACGATCAGCCTTAGATATCATTCTGCTCAGAATATATGCAAGTAGAGTAAACAAGAAAGGAGATAAAGGATGTCCTTGTCTTAATCCAATTTTTGCTGGAAAGAAGTTCCTTACCACACTATATACCAATATTGAGTAGTGCACTGAGATCAAACAACCTTTAATCCATATTCTCCACCTCTCCCCTAGACCAATTGTCTCTAATATCTGTAAGAGGAATGATCAATCAACAAAATATAAGCCTCCTCTAAATCCAATTTACACACTGGCCCTTTTCCTTTGTTCTGCTACACACTCATTTGCCACCAAACTTTGACAATGATCTGCCTTCCCTCAACAAAAGCTCCTTGATGTTGTGAAATTACCAATGACAACACCTTTTTCAGCCTCCCAGCTAAGACCTTTTTCATGCTTTACACATACAAATTTGAAGTTAAGTTGGATTCATACTTTTCAACCCAACCCAACTTTTTTGGGTTGGGTTCAGTCTTAACTGGCTCAAGTTGCAGCCCTATTTGTTATGTCTGGTTTTCATGTAACTTGGCTCCAACCCATTTCCTTGTATTGTACTACTAACTTTGTTAGTTATGACTTTTGTCATCTGGAAATGTCTTTGAAGGAACTTGTGTATGTCATGTTTTAGAAGAGAAAAATGGCATTTTTCCCCTTTTGAGTTTGGGTGTAAGGAGTTACCTGTAGAAGTTCTTATTTTAGATTAGAGGGTTTCACGAGACATCTGTTTGAATCAGAACATGCTTTGAGAATGGGGATAGAAAGTGAATACATTTTAACCAATGAGGACAGATATGAGGATGGGGATTGCTATTTTCACGTTAAATTCCTGCATAAATACACTTTTGATGGCTGTTAGTTATAAAGTGTATGCTCATGGTAAATAAGACTGGTTAATTGATAGTGTTTTACCTGGTTGCATTCAATTATAGATTTCCTGGCTGTAAATTACCCTGGAATGTAATCATGCATTTATAGGAAAATTTCCTTAACTTTTCTAGGATCATTCATTCAAATGATTTTCCATCAGAGGTCATTCCTTTTGACCAATGGACACAGCTTAAACCAGAGCCGAAGGGTACATTTTCTGGTTGGATTAAGGATGCTTTTCGTGGAGGAAAGAAGGATATGCAAGACGGACTCCATCAAAAGGTTCATTTTATTCTCAGCACAGCTCCAATGTGGGATAGGTTTGTTGCAGTATGAACCTTACCAATATAGTAGCATATTTTTCACATTGGTTTATTGGAATAACACCTTATGGGTAGAGATATGCACCAGTAGTGGTATAAATTCTGAAAGAGGTATTTACCATTAAGTATGACAGATTGGAGATTTTATATGCTGAAGTTCTATTAAATCGTATTGTATTCTACTGAAGAAAAACATATGATAATAAGTTTTGATCATTTAATTGCACCAAATTTTGTTGGAATTTCTCTGGATTAGTTCTCTATACAACTCCAGGTGCCACGATATGCTGTCTACTTGACTTCCATTATATCCTTCACCTCTTGGTTGGTCATGTTGGTAGCTCTTGAGTTTTCATTTTTTTTTCCCTATTGGATTTTTATTTTACTCCCTATCATACAGGTATGACCAACTTTCTTCTATCCATTTTACCATCGAAATATGCTTTTCTTGTTTTTGATAACAAGTTTTTTTATTGGCAACAGTAAATTTTATTGATTGTGATAAAAAAATATGATATGTACAATTAATAGTACTCAAATTAGGCCTAGCAATATGCCTACCTAATTCATTACATTGTCATTCCCCCATATGGCCTGAAAACAATTGTTGTCCCCCACCCCAAGTAATAGAAATTTCATTAGATCAAGCAAAAGCAAATAATTTTACAATGAAAACTTCCCAACTGGAGGCACGAGTTGCAGCCTCCAAAAACAAAAACAAATAAAAAAATAAGTTACACTAAGCCCAATACAAATGATCCTTAGTAATCCCTTGCTTAGCTAAAGAATCTGCCATACCATTTGCGGATCTCCTTTTCCATTGAATCCTTACATGTTTGTGGTCAGCCACTTAACTCTCTCTATAGCTCCCCTATAAGTCCATATTGATGTAATTGGCTCGTTTAACCACCCAACTACCAGTTTAGAGCCTTCAATGATTAGTGCTCTTGGTGGTTCGATCTTAACTAGTTTCAATCCTAGCGTAAGAGAGAAAGAATAGAAGGAGAAGAAGAGGAAGAGAAGAAAAGGAGAGAACTAGAGGAGAAAACCTTTGGTTCAGCAGCTTCAGCTAGAGAGACTTCAATAACTCTCCAGGACTTATTTGTATTTTTGTAATAGAAATACAAAGACACTTATGCCCCTAATTTAGTATGGGACATATTACTTAAGTTGAGATATAATGAACATAACACCAATAAAATAAGGTATAAAGACCAAAATACCCCTGACTACCAACTCTAACACTCCCCCTCAAACTGGAGAGTATATGTCATATAGTCCCAACCTATTACATGTGTAATCCACTTTTCCCTAACTCAACCCTTTTGTAAACAAATCTGCGAATTAACTTCCTAAGTTCACATGTGTTGGATTTATCACTCCACTAAGCACCTTTTCTCTTACAAGGTGACAATCAACCTTTATGTGCTTTGTTCTCTCGTGGAAAACTGGATTAGATGACATGTGGGCTGGAGCTTGGTTGTCACAATACAACTTCATAGGGTTGTCAACTGAGTACCCAATTTCATGTAGGAGATTCTTCAACCACACTACTTCACATGTAGTGTGTGGCATGACTCTATATTCAGCTTCAACACTAATCCTTGCTACCACAGTTTGTTTCTTACTCTTCCATGTCACCAAATTCCCTCCAAGAAAGGTACAATACCTTGTAGTGGATCTTCTGTCAAATATTAAGCCGGCCCAATTAGCATCTATGTAACCTTTTATCTTAAGACTTTCTCCAATCTTGTATAACAAATAGCAAACCACAACTTGGAGCTCCCTTTAAATATCACACAATTCTTAGAACTGCATCCCAATGTGGAACCGAAGTATTTTGCATAAACTGGCTTACCACATTAACTACAAATGATATATTTGGCCGAGTAATAGTTAAATAGTTGAACTTATCCACTAACCTTTTGTATCTCCCAAGATCCTCAAATTCTTCACTTGCATTAGCATTTAATTTGACATTTGGCTCCATGGGTGTTTTAGCTAGTTTGGCACTCAACAACCTTATCTCCTCTAGCAAGTCAAGAACATACTTCATTTGGCACAAATTGATACCATGATTCAACTTTGTAACTTCTATTCTCAAAAAATACTTTATTTTACCAAGATTTTTTGTTTGGAAGTGATTGTTAACAGGTGTAATACATGTACTGTTCACAGACTTAGTACCCGTAGGGGTATTTTTGTAATTCTATAGACATATTGTTATGTACGGCCAGAATAGTATAAATGCAAAGCTTCACTCGACTGAAGCTAAGTTTAGTTGAGGCCTTAACTCAGTTGCCTCTTATTCTTCTTCCTCTTCTCCTTCCATCTTCTTCTTTTCTCCTTCTTTTCTTCTTCTTCTTGGCCTCCTGCTCAACATRGTATCAGAGCAGRTTCRTCCAGGCCTAGAAAACAACTAACTGAGGTCTCTCTCCTCTGCTGCGAAGGAGCTATAGTACTGATGCTCGAAGACAAGGAGGAGGAAGCTTTTCTAGTGCTGCGGTTA